ACTACAAGTTGGAAAGACTATTACAAGTTTGTGCTAGTGCCTGAAATGCAGCATCATGAGTTAGAATGAATGGAAAGAAGAATTGGTAGGATTTCATAATTCAGTCAGAGGGATGAAGATGGATGAGGAGGAGATGATGACACTGGCTCTTCAGGTTCACTGTCTTAGTCCATTTATGATGTCATAACAGAACCATGTAGAATAACCACCGAATAACTGATACACAATGAAATTTTATTTTCTATTTCTGGAGTCTTGGAAGCTAAAGATCAAGGCACTAGTGGGTTTAGTTGTCTGATGAGGACTGCTCTTTGCCTCCCACATGACTCTTCTGCAGTGTAGGAATGCTGGGTCCTCATGTGGTGGAATGCAGAAAGGCTAGGCACCTGAATGCTGTGGTAAGCCTCTTTTATCAAGGCCTTGATCTCATTCATGAGGAAGGAACTCTCATGGCCTGACCACCTCCTCTCGGCTCCACCTTGTAGTACATCTCATTGACAGCACCTTCAAACCACAGCATTCTGCTTCTGACCTCCAAAAAGTTCATTTCCTTCTTCCATGCAAAACACAATCTCTCCAGTCTCTATGGCTACATATTCTCAATTTGTTCCAGCATCTACTCAAAAGTCTATAGTCCCCAGAGTCTTATCTAAATGAGACATGGGAAAGACTGAAGATGTCTTTCAAACTGAGGCCCAGTGGGCTTGCACTGGGCATGGCAGGCTTGATCATTCTCCCATGTTTTGATGAATAGCACCAGGCTTCCTTCTGTTCATATTAGTCTCTTATTGAAGGACCACTTGGTCACACTCTTGATTTGCTCTCTTTTTGGGTGGATGGGGGTGTACCCAGGATTGAACACAGGGGCACTTGACCACTGAGCCTAATCCCCAGCCCTAATTATGCATGTCTTTTTAAAAGACAGGGCCTCACTGAGTTGCTTAGCACTTCCCTTTTGCTGAGGCTGGGTTTGAACTCACGATCCTCTTGCCTTAGCCTCCCAAGCCACTGGGATTACAGGTGTGTGCCATTGCACCCAGCTAGGTTTGTTCTCTTAAAGGTACTTTTTAAATTCTTCACATGACAGGCTGAGAATTTTCCAAATTTTACATTCTACTTCTCTTTTAATTACAAATTCCATCTTTCAATTGTCTCTCTCTTCTCACATTTAAGAGAAGCCATTAGCCCCCTGAATGCTTTGCTGCTTAGAGATTTCTTCCATCGAATATCCTAGTTCATTGCTCTGGAGTTCTGCCTTCCTTAGAGTCCTAGGGCCGGCCTAATTTGATCAAATACTTTGCTGCTTTACAACAAGGATGGACCTTCCTATAGTTCCTCATTATCCCTTGTTCCTCATTATCATCTGAGACCTCATCAGAAGGATCTTTACTATCCATATTTCTACTAGAATTCTCATTATGGCTACTTGGATAATTACTAAATAGGCTGAGGCTTTCCCTTCTACTCTTCTCTTCACTAGAATTGCCCTGAATGTTTTATTCACAGTGATGATATAGGCCATTCTCAGTATTCACTTCAAACCTCTCCTGGTCTCTATTTATCACCAAATTCCAAAACTGCTTCCACAGTAATGTCTTTATCATAACAACACCTCACCCCTCTGTTACCCATTTTCGGTCTTCGTTCATTTGATACAGCTGTAACAAAATACCATAGAGTGGGTGATTTATAAAGAATAGAGGTTTATTTTCTCACAGTTTGGGAGGCAGGGAATTCCAAGGTCAAGACATCAGCAGGCTTGGTTTTCTAGAGAGGGCTGCCCTCTGCTTACAAGATGGTTCTTTCTGAGAGGAGAAATGCTATATCCTCACAGGCAGAAGAAGAGGCTACCAGGATGCAGGTGAAGACTTTTTTTATAAGGGCCATAACCCTGTTAGCAAGGAGGGAGCCTTCATGTCCAGTCACCTCCTGAAGGCCCATCTCTTAATACTATTGCATTGGTAAGGGACACGTTTGAACCAAAAACTCTCATAGAGAAGATGGCCCTGAGCTAGAAGCTAGACGGTGGGGGAGAAGTCAAGCCACTGTATGCTTCTTGGTCTTCTTTTTAGTTCAATTATTGTAAGAGCCTGGCAAGGACAAAGTGGTAGCTCAGTACACCTTTAGAAAAAGGATATATTCAGAGGATTAGATTTTAAATCTACAAGTGAGGGGATTCCTGCCAAGCTTCTTTTGAATTAAAGTCCAGAATATGGGAGGAATAGGAATGGCCATTAATGCGATAAGACAACGTTTCTGAATGAAGGATATAGAATCAAATAGAGTCTGTTTTTGCTGCTCCTGGAGAATCCCAGCAACAATCATTTTGCCACTCTGTGCTTTAACAATACAGTACATCTTTCATTATACTTTCCAGAGTGAAAGGGCGTGTGGTTTCTCTCCACAGTAACAGACATGTTTTCTTGAACAATACCCAGTAAAGGTCACATTGGAGATTTAAGTCACAAGCCCTGTGATTTAAATTTGAGGCTAGGTTTAAAAATGGTATGTCTAGAGCTTGCCAAGTTCCATTAAAAGCCCTGGTGTCATTTTGGATTACCGTTGAATAGAACAGGATCCTATGGGATATTGTACCTTTGTTAGTAGCAATACATAGATTTTTTTCCTTTGTGTTATTCCTTGGCTGTGTTGTTATGGTAAATATCTACTTTCATGCCAAATATTAGAAAATATCATCAAAGTTCCTGAGTCTACTGTTTCTATAGGATGCCTAATTTTCTGACTTTTGAATTATTATCAGAGGACTTCTGAAGAGCCTTATCATGTGAAAAGACTTGTCATATTAATTTAGTAATAGTTTATCTTAAATGCTGCTTTCCTCCCCAAAGCATTCTCAATTCCCTACATCCCCAGCAGAGCACATTGCCAGCTTCTCAGAAGCTCAGAGCAGCTCCTACCCCAGCTGATGTTGTCATGCTGCTACGCAGCAGAACTACTTATATTTTCTAGCATCCACTGAGTTCCTACTGAGTTCCTACTCTGTGCCCCTTAGTGCACCAAACAGTTCATATGGATTACCTTACTTAATCTTCCAAGTATATCACACAGTGAGGAAGCTGAGGTAAGAAGGTACCATGGCCAAGGCTATAAGTGATGAAGCAGGAGAACCCCAGCCAGCCTGGCTTCAGGCCCGTTCTTGAATTTATTAGCACAGCCTTCTTATTGTTTTTTATGTTTATAGTTTATGCTTCTACAAGGGCAGTCCGTTGCTTAGGGGGTGAGGTATACAAAGACAATCTTGTGCATTTCAGTGTTTCTAGAATTTTCCAAATTATTGATTGACTCATAAATATTCAATGAATAATAGCTGAGTGAATTCTTGAAAATTGAAGTGGGACATTCTGGCAAACAGGCATGCTGGTTTAGGAATACAACCTGAAAGTTTCATTTTGGAGAGCGATGAGGAAAAAAGAATGTTAGTATATGAAGTTTGAAGAGGAGTTTCCATTTGTTTTTTATTCCTGTCACTTGGGTTGGATTCTGTGTTCCAAACTGCCCTCCCCCAGCTCTTCTTCCTTCTTTCATGCAAAGATGATCCAGCTTTTTTAGTGTTCTTTTTTCTTTTTTGCCCCATGTAACGATCCCAGGCTTCAGTTCTGCAGAACTTGAAAATACTGTCAATCATTCCCCCTCTTTGTTTATTCATGACGTAAGCTCAAGTTGACAAAAGTAAAATTTTGAAAAGTTAATGTGTGACCTCCTGGCCCCATCATTTTCTAGCCTTTCTGAGGCTTCACAAGTGCAATGTGGAAATAAGCTAAAAGTTCTAAAACTCAGACAAAAGTCCGTGGCTTTAAAAGCTGGCATGTGGAGGGAAATTTTGAATTGTTTAGTTGGTGGGTACTGACCCTGAAACACTTGTAAGAGTGGGTACTAGGACAACTGGCAGAGAGTAAGCGTGGGGCTCTCTGAGTTGGCACTGGATCTATGAGAAAAATGTAGATAATTGACTAAAAATCAGAATAGAAATCCAGAGAAAGCCTGCCAAGCCTTGTTCAGTCACCCTTAGCTATTGAGATGAATGTAGCCACAAGGAGATAGTCATAATACTCAGGGACATCCAAGGAGGATGTGGGCTTGGTTCTTAATTGCATCAGAAAAACCATGACACTTCTCTTGTACCATGACAGCGAAGGAACTGTGAGTCATGAGGAGGGGCCGGAGGAAGATGGGCAGTTTGGGCTGTCTCCTTGATGTAGCAGCACACAGAATCAGCACCCTCACACCAGGGACTCCATTTCCAAGGAGCACCATCTGTGGAAGAAAGGGTGCATCACTTAAAGCTGGATGTATTTCTGTAGGCTTGACCAAAGAAGACAAAATTTAACAAGTAATTAGAACAGATTAGAAAAGATAATTTCATAATTAATTTAGTAATGTTTGAATTAATTTAGTGTATTGTGGTGACATTATGTATCCTTTCATCAATTCTGTTTGTGAAATATTTTTCTAAATCCAATAGGCTACAGAGTTCAGTGAGGGAAAGAGACAGGCTTCTAGGCTTTAGTGGACAGTCTACTAAGGTTTGAGCTCAGCAATCTGTGTGTAGGTTTTCTCATCTCTAAAATGAGCCAGTTGCAGGGCTGTTTTTGAGGTCAAAGATCCCCCATGTCTGAAGCCCCTGGCACAGAGCCTCACCCTTGGTAGGCACTGGGGAATGAGCCTTGCTGCCTCTGTGCTCAGACCTGCCCACAGTTTTCCAACCCCAGCCTGCTAATTAAGGGAAAATGCAGACGTGTACTTAGTTACAAAATACTGCTGACTTTTAGCTGTCTCTGAATACAGTGCGGAAAGGCAATATCCCACCTTGCCATTTGTGAATAAAAGGTTTTGGGATACACAATTAGTAAAAATTAATAATATCATGCTGATAATTCCTGCAGGTGCTAATATAGTACTTACTTCCTCATTAACAGGGATAGAACTCCCAGTAATGGTACTTTGAACATTCCCTAATGGTGCATTTTTTTTTCTTCCAGAAGTTTCTGGCATGTCAGAGTCATTCTGTCTTCCGTGGGACTTCTTTCTTGAACAATTTTCATTGAAAAGACTTTTATGAATACATTGTTTCAGTAAAGCCCCAAGAACACATTTGTCTTCTGATCTGCTGGCAGTTTTAAGGTTTGTATTATTTTTTTCCATTGTTCTTACTGAAGATATTGTTCATTTTAAGGGATACTTTTAAAATACATAGTAGTCATGTTCCATTTTAATAAGAACTCTGCAAACAGAAATGCACAAATTGTAATCCATTGATTTCATTTTGAGAAATGGATATAAATGAAAAGAAATAGGCTATACTACTTTTCATACTTATTGTATACTCTATGGGATGCTACAAGAGTATTAGACATGAAATATACTCCACATTAATTGAAAACACATTTTAATTTTAGGTTCATAAATTTAAACTGAATAGCAAGTAGTTTTATGTAAAGTGCCTATATCAGCTTTTAAGTACTTTGAGATAATTAATACCTTATGGAAAATTTATATTTTGAAACATCAAAAACTAAAACTGCATTTATCAATATCAATTATTATTATTGTTATTTTTACACTTTTCAAATTAAAAAATCTCAGTGCTACCAGGAAATATTCATCTTAGTTTCATGAATTATAGAATAGGGTTTGTTTAGGATTTGTGTGTGTCTATACATGTATGTATATTAAAAGTATCAAAAATTAATGGTATTGTTGCTTACACAAGGAAAAGCTTACTAGTGAAACAAGCCTTTCATTTGGAAGTCTATGTTAGCCATTGAGATAAAACACTTCTATTTTGAAGACACTTTCTAACAAAGACCTAACCAAAGGCTAAATTCAGTTCATGCATCTTTCATAGCCAGAAAAAGAAACAGGGTATAGGGTGAGATCTGGTGCTTGAGTGAATGGGAACTAAATGTAGAGCAAATGAGAAGGATCATAGTACTTTCTAGCACTATGACACGTCTCTTCCCAAAGGCATTGATTTCATTTGGTGGGACTTTTATTCTGTTCAAGGTGACAAATGTTTTCCCCCTAATAGAACTTTACTGTGTTTTTCTATTTTATTTCTTTTATTTCTACTGAGAAATCAAAGCTGATTTTACTGCAACACTGAGCTATATTCCAGTTTTCCCAGTGCACCCTCACTGTTGGGCTTCATGATTAGCTCACACTGAAGAGGGAGGAGGCTGGTATTTATTGAGGGAGCTGGCGGATGGGAAATTGTGCCCCTATCTTCCACCCTCCAGTCTGTCGGTGTGGTAGGATGTACAGTCTGTTGGAACCTAATGACTGTATCCATGGAAACAGAAGCACTGGAAAGGAATTGAGAAGTTACCCAAATGTTCCTGCCTAGTCTACAAGCAAGATTCTGCTTAAACTATCTGAAACCTAGAAGAGCCTATTTGTTTTTAAATTTTTATACCCAGGGATCTAGTTTTCTTTTCTTTTAAATTGTGGTAAACACACACATACAACATGAAATCTGCCCTCTAACAAAATTTTAAGTGCATTTTAAATTATATGCATGTTGTAATAAAGTAAATCCTTATTACTTTTTTAATGTTGCTCCACTGAAACTTTATACCTGTTGAACACCATATCTCCTAACTCCATTCCTGGGCAACTGCTTTTCTACTTTCTTCTTGTGTAAGTTTTATCACTTTAGATACTAATATGAGTGGAATCATACAGTTTGTCCTTTTGTAAGTATCACTTAGCCTAATGACCTCAGTTCATCCATGTTGTCACATATGCAAGATTTTCTTTCTAAGTCTGAATAATATTCCTTTCTAGGTATATGTCACATTCTCTTTATTCTTCTGTTGATAGACATTTAGATTGTGCACAGGGGTGAAATTGACTATGGCAAATATGCCTTAATGAATATGGTATGCAAGTATTTCTACAAGGTCTTTTAAAATTTTTTTGGATATATACCCAGTGGGATTGCTGTATCATCCATCAATTCTATTTTAAGTTTTTGGAAGAATCTCCATACTGTTGTCTGCAATGCTGCACCATATTGTATTCACACCAACAGTGTACTAGGGTTTCATTTTCTCTGGTTCTTGTTATTTTGATAATAGTCATCCTGACAGGCTCATTTTAGTTTTGATATGCATTTCTCTAATGATTTTGATGCTGAACATCATTTTATATATCTGTTGAACATTTGGATGTGTTCTTGGGAGAAATGTCTATCAAGTTCCTTGTTCAACTTTTAATTACATTATTTGTGATTTTGCTATTAAATTGTAGCAGTTCCTTTGATTTTTTAGGTATTAACCCCACATCACATGTATTGTTAGCAAGTATTTTCTTCCATTTTGTAAGCTGTCTTTCACTCTGTTGATTATTTTCTTTGCTGCACAAATGCTTTTTAGCTTTTTTTTTTTTTTTTTGTACCAGGTATTGAACCCACGGCCACTTAACCACTGAGCCAAATCTTCAGCGAATTTTCGTATTTTGTTTAGAGACAGGGTCTTGCTAAGTTGATGAGCCTGGCCTTGAACTAGCGATTCTCCTACCTCAGCCTCCTGAGCTGCTGGGATAACAGGCATACATCACTGTACCCAGCTAAAAGCTTTTTGGTTTGATGTAATCCCAGTTCTCTATTTTGCTTTAGACACCTACATTTTTGGTGTCATATCTAAGAAATCATAGCCATAAACAATGCTACAGAATTTTTTTCATGTTTTCCACTAGTAGTTTTGTTGTCTTGGGTCTTATGTGTAATTCTATGATTAATTTTGGGTTGGTTTTTGTGGATAATGTAAGATAATAGCTCATTTCATTCCTTTGCCTATGGATTACCAGTTTTTCCAGCATAATGTGTTGAAGAGACTGTGCTTACCTTACTGTGCAGTCTTGGTATCCTTGCCAAAATCATTTGATTGAATATGCATGGGTTGATTTCTGGACTCTCTGTTCTATGCTGTTGATCTATATGGATGCCTCTAGGTTAGTACTATATCATCTTGATTACTATAGCTTTGTAATATATTTTAAAGACAGGAAGTATGAGGTTTCCAGTATAGTTATTTTTTTCTCAATTTTAGAATTGTTTTTGTTTCTCTGTTTCTGTGAAAAATGCCATTGGGGGTTTGGTAAAGATTGCATTGAATCTGCACATCACATTGGTTAATATGAACATTTTAGCCATCTTAGCAATGGTAAGTCTTTCAACCCATGAACGTGAAAGGTCTTTTCATTTGTTTGTGTATTCTTTGGTTTTATTGTTGTTGTTAGCAATTGTTATAGTTTTTAATATATAAATATTTTGCCATTTTTGGTTAAGTGTATTCTGAACTATTTTCTTTTACATTATGGTGGATGGACTTGTTTTCTTAATACCCTTTTTAGACTGATCGTTGTTAGTATATTGAAGTACAACTAAATTTTCATCTGAAAATTTGCTGAATTTATTCTAACAGTTATCTTTGTTATTATTACATGGAATCTCTAGATATATCTGCATATAAGATTAAATCATTAGGAAAAAGAAGTTATTTTGCTACTTCCTTTCCAATTTTTATGTTTTCATTTCTTTTTTTTTTTGCCTAATTTTTCTGACAAAGACTTCCAATAATATGTTGAATAGAAGTTGTAAGAGTGAAAACCTTGCCTTGTTTTTGATCTTAGAAGGAAATATTTAGATTTTCACCATTTAGTATTGTATCTGCTCTGAGTTTCTTATATATTACTTTTATTATGTTGAGATAATCTCCTCCTGTATCTAATTTGCTGATTTTTTTTTTAATCATGAAAGAGTGCTAAAATTTTTGTCAAGTACTTTTCTGCATATGTTGAAATGCTCTTGTGATTTTAAGTTTTTTCTTTTTGGTTCATATGGTGTGTTTTATTGAATGGTTTTTGTGTCTTGAACCATCCTTGCATTCCAGGGATAACTCCCACTTGCTCTTGGCATATGATGCTATTATTGTGTCATTGAATATGTCCACTAGCATCCTTTGGTTAGCTAACATCCTTGAGGATTTTTGTAGTTGAATTCATCAGAACTACCAGCCTGATTTTTCTTTACCTGTGTGTTTATGTCTGGCTTGGACCTCTGGTTATACTGGCCTCATATAAGTTTGGAAGTGTTAAATCTTCTTCAATTTTTTGAAAAGTTAATTCTTCTCTAAGTGTTTGTTAGAATTTTCCAGTAAAACTAAATCTGATCTAAAGCCTTTCTTCATTGGTAGGTTTTTGATTATGAATTCAGTCTCTTTTCTAGTTATAGGTCTGTTCAGGCTTTCTATTTCTAGATTTGATCTTGTTAGGTTATATATTTATATTTTATTTATGTTATACAAATTTTTGGGTATTTTACTGTTCATTGTGGTGCCTTTTGATTCTTTTTATGTCTGTGTTGTCAGTTGTAATGTCTTCTTTCATTTTTTATTTTATTTATTTGGTGATACTGGTAATTGAATGCATGGTCACTGTACTACTGAGCTACATCCTTAGCTCTTTTTAATTTTTATTTTGAGACGAGGTCACTATGTTGTACAGTTTGGCCTCAAACTCAGGAAGCTCCTGCCACAGTCTCCCAAGTAGGTGGGATTACAGGTGTGTGCCGCCACGCCTGGCTATTTCCTGATCTGTTATTGTGTTAATTTATTTTTTCTTCTATAGACAAAAATTTTTATCAGAGTTCCTCCATATCATCAGCATTTCAATTTTCAAATTGTCATTTTTCCTCTTTGGTAGAGACAAGTCCATTTAAAAACAAACAAGCAAACAAACAAAAAACCTTTCCTATAAAATTATATAATTTAGAATTTTACTGACCTTTGTAGTTCTTTTCTAATTCTCTTACATTCCTTACATTTCACTTAACTTTAAGATATCAGATGGGTTGAAGGAATATTAAACATTTTCTATTGGTGTTGAGGCCAAATGCTCATCTCAAGTAGGACAGTTCTTTGTAATACAAGACTGCATCATGCAGTTTGAAAAATTTTTTTATTGGTTGTTCAAAACATTACAAAGCTCTTGACATATCATATTTTATACATTAGATTCAAGTGGGTTATGAACTCACATTTTTAACCCAAATACAGATTGCAGAATCACATGGGTTACACATCCACATTTTTACATGATGCCATATTAGTGACTGTTGTATT